ATTGATAAAAAAAAGGCATATGACATGGTGGACTGGGATTTTTTACTAGAGGTTCTCAAGCGGAGAGGGTTTGGGGAGAGATGGTGCAGTTGGGTAAAGGGATGCATTTCTTCATGTCATTTCTCAATATTGGTGAATGGTGTAGTTAGGGGTTTCTTTCCTGCAAAGAGGGGTATTAGGCAAGGAGATTCATTGTCCTCATTCCTCTTTACCCTAGTAGCTGATGTATTGAGTGCCATGATTTCGAGGGCCGATGCTAACAATTTGATAAGAGGTTGGAGGATTGGTAGGGAGGAGGTGGTGGTCACACACTTACAATTTGCAGATGACATCATCTTGTTTTGTGAAGGGGAGGAAGGGGAATTACGGAACTTAAAGAGTCTAGTGCTTCAATTTGAAAGTCTGGGGAAAAAAATTTTAGGGGGAGAGGAGGTGGATTCCCTAGCTAGGATTTTGGGGTGTGAAGTGGGGGGTTGGCCTTTACAATATTTGGGGCTACCACTGGGAGGGAACCCAATGGTTGAGAGTTTTTGGTACCCTGTAATTGAAAGATTCTCCAAGAGGTTAGCAAATTGGAAGAGGAATTACATCCCTTTAGGGGGTAGGATAACCTTAATCAAGGCAACCTTAGCCAACCTGCCAGTTTATTTCCCGTCTACCTTTAGAGTACCAATGAAAGTAGCTAACCARTTAGAGAAGATAATGAGGGATTTCTTGTGGGAACCAGGGGATACTAAGAAGGATCACTTAGTGAAGTGGGAGGTGGTTTCTAGGAGTAGGGATGATGGAGGCCTTGGGTTAGGAAATATAAGATTAAGAAACATGGCTTTGCTGGGGAAATGGATTTGGAGACTACCGATGGAACAAGACAAACTTTGGTCTAGAGTGATTGTTAGTATTCATGGATTGGCAGATAACGACTGGGATGCAGGACTTGACCCTGGGGATTCTCAGTGTTCTCCTTGGAAAGCTATTCAAAGTATTTTGCCTCTTATGCTTCCTTATTTCAAATATGATGTCTGTGCTGGAAATAAAGTCTTGTTTTGGGGAAAACTCCCTTAGAGATAGATTTCCTTCTATTTACTCCTTGTCTGAAAACAAAAGAAAAGTGATCTCTTCAGTGTTTGTTGATAACTCCTGGGATTTGGGCTTGAGAAGAGGTCTAAGGGATTCTGAAATGGGGATGGTTGATGATTTGATGACTCAGTTAGGGGAAGTCTTTCTTGATCAGTC